TTCATGCATGCGTGTGTTAGCTTATCTTCCAGATCTTGAAGTTGTTTTTCAAGCCAGAATGTCACAATTTAATTGGGGGAGAAGCCTTAATCACAACTTGCAAACAAGGTGAAAATGGAACATTTTTAACGATTCCTTTCCAAAAAATAAATGGAACAGGGGAATGCTGACATTGCTTTACTTTTGCCAAAGGCTGCCAACACTCCGAGGGAATAAGCTATTCAGCTGGCGAAAAAGTGCTGAACAAACACTGAAGGAGCTAAAGGGATACTCCCAACCATGATATACTCACTTTTCACTCTATCTCCTGCCCCAGTCTAATGGCTTTCCCCTCACTCCCTGCCCTCAGGAAAAAAAAGGGGTAAAAAAGAAAAAAAAAAGAACAGAAAAGACAGGTTGGATTAAAACAGTAGCAAGAGGAATTGGTGGATCCTAAGAGTTGGCAGGGGTATTAGTATTTTGTAACCTGATCTGTCACGTGACCAGGGCTAGGCAATAAAAATAAGTCTCCTACCAGCCCTCCTGTTTGCTCAACTTTATTATATGGTGTCAGTGGAGAACTAGTTTTTCTTTTTCTTTTTTTTTTCTTTTTTTTTTTTTTTGGCAAAAATTTAGCAAATGAAGCCACCTGAATCATTAAATCCTGAAGGAAATCTGGCAGAGAACCGGAGGAGGTTGTTGCTGCGCTTCCAAGTTTTCCTGGAAGCAAGCATGTACTGAAGAGAAAAGGAGAAGGTTTCACCTTCTCCTCTTCTAAATGTGGTGGGAGGAGCAGGAAGCAGAAAAACAAAACTATTAGAAGTAAATTAAATTCTTGATCAACCTTAGTAGAGGTTGGCAAAGATCTATTTGAATTAGCCAGCAAAGATTACTTCTTGTTATGGACTACCACACACACACAGTGCCGCACACCACAGTGAGCAGAAATGTAATAACATACTGTAAATTACAGTTTGCTCACCACAGTGCTCAAGATGAGTTAATAACAGATAATGGCCCACAATTCACAAGTGGATCATTCTGGTAATTCTCTTTGATCTATAAGTTCAAGCATACCACGTCAAAGTATAGCTATGTGCAGGAAAAAGTCAGTGTTAGAGCAAAACCCCAGTAACAGCCTCCCCCCTTTACAAGTCTGTCATTAGCTCTGTAAAAGCAGAGATGCACACCTCAATGCCTTACTGGCCTCACCAGATCTGAGATTAATGGGCAAAGGAAAAGCCTTCCAGAGCCAACATTTAACAGCAGCTGGTTGGGCAGAAAGACTATTAACCCTGGAATAGCTATCAAAACATCCTCTGTGCCAGGGAAGTAAAGAAGAAAAGTTTAAACAAGAGGAATGAACAGTTACGCTTTTTTCTAGCATTAGATGGATTTCCAACAAAGTGATTACTGAGTTAGATTTGTAGAGGTGAATGTCAGTCCTGAGAC